CCAGCTGTGCCTTTTTGGGGGAAACGCCGAAAGTTTAGAGTTTAGGGTTTCAGGGTTTAGGGTTTTTAGGGTTTAGGGTTTCAGGGTTTAGGGTTTTTAGGGTTTAGGGTTTTAGGGTTTAGGGATCCCCCAATAAGGTCTACATCTTCGGAGAATTTGCTAATGAGTAACAAGGACCCTCTCGACAACGCGCCCTGAGCAGTAGTAGGTCCCCTCATCGCAAGATCCCAGGCTACACAACTTGAAAATCCCAAACCCCAAAATCCTCAACCCTAAAATCCTAAGTTTTTTGCACGCTCCAAACCCGTACATCCTTTAAAGAACCCGCGAAAAGCCCCTTAAAGGAGTGGGGGTTTAGGGTCTGGGTGAGCGAACCCACCGAAGACCCTAAACCTTAAACCCCTAACCCCTAAACCCCTAAACCCTAAACCCCTAAACCCTAAACCCAAACCCCTTAACCCTAAACCCGAACCCACCGAAAACCTGGAAGCTCTCCAGACGTCCAGGCCTCCCCGCGTTTCACTCGGGTTGAGAGCTCAGCAGGGTCGGAACCCTTCTGAACCCTAAATCCTAAACCCTAAACCCTTATCCCTAAACCCTAAACCCTGAACCTTTATTGTGCTTTTCTCTTTTCATTCGTGCACATGTCGCGGGAGCCAAAACATACACATGTGACGTGTGAAGTTCTGAATGTTGGTATTTGTGTTCATATTCGTTCAATTACCTTTTTGCTGGCTTGTGGGTGTGTGGGTGTTTGTTTGTGTGCGCTTGGTCCTGCATTTATTCGTAGGTTGTTCATGTTTGTTAAAACTTGTGCCAAAATGCCCTATGTATGTCTGTATGTAACTGTAAGCATGTGAGTGTATATGTCTGCGCATACTTTCAGCCGCAATTGCCACCGTCTGCAGTTCCAGTCTTTGAAGGAACCCCGGGGACTTTAAAAGGACAGTATGACCACGTACCCAGCCCCCTCGGTTAGGTCAAAGCTTATGTGTTCACTATAGCGGCTTTAGTAAAACCTATCCAATTTTGGTGGTTCCTTACTTTAATGACGATTGTATTCTATACCCCAAAGCCCGACTTCTAAGTATGAAGGCCCCTACATCAGGTGAGGACGTTTCATCTTGGGTTCCTCGGGTTTCGGGCGTACAGACTCTAGGGCCCTGGGGAGTTCGACTCATCGGGCTCTTGGACGGAGGGTTTAGGGTTTAGGGTTTTAGGGTTTAGGGTTTAGGGTTTAGGCTTTAGGGTTTAGGGTTTAGGGAAACCCTAAACCCTAAACCCTAAACCGTACACCCTAAACCCTAGGCCCAGTTCCACGGACGTATCTGTTCGTTCAAAACCATTCAGGGTTTAGTCTAGTTTAGGCTTTGGGGTTTAGGGTTTAGGGTCAGTACTGTTCCTCAGGGTTTAGTTTAGGCTTTAGGGTTTAGGGTCATCACTGTTCCTCGGGGTTTAGTTCGGCTTTAGGGTTTGGGGTCTTACTGTTCCTCGCAGTTAAATGCAGGCTTTAGGGTTGAGATTCCAATCAGCATAGTCTGGGTTCCAAGTGTCAAGTTACCCAGGTCTTGCCAGCGAGGGCAGCCACTGTGAATACCTCCAGCGAAAGAGTTGCGAATTCGGCGCTGGCGTGCTGAGTACTCTGCTGATACCTGCACGCCGACTAAACCCCACGATCCTATCATCCCCACATTCCTATGCCTTGAAGCCGTGCCTGCGTCAGCGAGTGTGCCCGTCGAAAACTCACATGAACCCTAAACCAAACCCCTAGATTCTGAAGACCCTGAACCTAAACCCTAAACCCCTACAGCCCGAAAAAACCTAAACCCCAAACGAAACCTTTTCATTCTGAAGGCCCTGAAGCCCTGAGCCGAAGTTTCGATCCCATTTGGAAGACCGGTCCTTGCCGCAGGGTTTAGGGCCTGGGGTTTTAAGGTCTAAGGGTTAGGGCCTTAAAGGTTTCAGAGGTTTCGGGTACGAGCTTCACGGTTTGGACCTTCAGGACTAGGGCTTATGGTTTAGGTTTTAGGGGTTTAAGGGTTTAGAGTTTAGGGGTTTGGGGTTTAGGGGTTTAGGGTTTAGGGTCATTTGAGCTGATTGGCAGAGTCTGGGTTCAAAAAGGGTCATTTGAGCTCAGTTTAGGCCTGTGGAAAAAGGGTCATTAGAGCATCGGTTCGGATCCCGCGTTTAGCATGTTAGAGCGCCATAACTGGTCTGACTAATAGCTGCTGCCCCCTACAGTCGCCATACTACGCCCATTCCCCCCAAAACCCTGCTCTGTTTGTAAATCCCGCCTATAAGAGCCCTAAAGCCCGTGGAATTAGTACCCCTAGCATACTGTGACACAGGCCTTTTGCCAAGTTGTCACGTCGTGTTTTCACCTGCTCTCTGGGTGCATTCCGTTTTCAGTTACCAGAACCCCATACTGTTGATGATATAGATCCTGCATGACCTTAAAGGACCCTAAGCTATGGGAATTCTGGTATTTTTTATTTTGGGTGATTAATGCAGGATTTTTGTCATCAACCGTGCCACCCCAAACCCCTGAGAGATGGAGCGCCGCCAGCGCAATTCGCCATTTCAGCTGTTCGACTAGCAAACGCAGAACGTGTACCTGGATCTGCGGTGCTTTGATAAAGGGTCGTTTAAAGGCTTTAAAGCATTTTGTAGAAGTTATTACCGTTTAAGCAGTTAGGGGCCCTTACAGCGGGGAAGATTTAACTGGACAAAATGCGGAACAAAACCATGTCGCAGCTGCAGGTGCCATCCCGGCCTTAACAACTCGACACCTTAATCAGACTATCTTGAAGCCTCCATGATTGGTATGCGGCCATGAGGCGCTATGCAATAGGAGTCGGAATAGCTGGTAGCACTAACCTGAACCATGCGCACCAAACCGAAGAGTGCAAAGGTATCGAGTTTAGCCTTGGCGGTTTGGGATTCGTCCTCCACTGCTCCTCAGACTGTACTGGTAGTAGAGAGTCCGGACCTAAAGCCATGAGCGCGGTCGCTGGGTCCTGGCTAGGACACCATGTGCACATCAGCTGACATCAGGCACAAGCCAACAGAGCACCAGCTGAATGCGCTCGTTCTGATTACGCACCAGGTGATGTAACCTATACACTTGTCCCATGCCCAAACAGTGAGATTGATACGACACCATCCTGATGGCCTTTGTTTCCCGCGCGTGGCCTTGTTAAAATATACGGCACGTAGCAACCCCAAGGACTCCCAGATAGGTTTGTGAAGTCGCTGCATCAGAGCCCTTTCAGATTCAGCTGCCGCGAGTGGCGAAGCAGGAGCATCCTTTACATCTGTGTAGGAAGAGTTCAAAAAACAGGCATGGGGCCAAGTGCCAGATTCAAGGGGTATCAATTCTGATCCTCTTTGGCTCGGAGCCCTTTTTGCAGGTGCGCCAGTTGAGACTTGCTTGCAAAACTCTGAGTCCTTAGCCTTTGGTACGTTCCCCAAAATGGCTGCTTAGCAGCTGAATGAGTAGACTTTAAACTTTTTTTGATAACATGACCCCCTAATTATAGCACTGAAAGCGTACACACTATTTTTTGTGCTTATGAACTCAGCAACCAAGGCTAGCTCTTCGTTGGTTGCTTGCATTATCCTAGGGAACAAGCGGTTTAGCGGCGAAGGGGCTCTCGGGGCTCTAGGCGGTTGAGGGCTTGCCTGTGAGAGAGACCTATAGGGGCATTTAGGGCTTGTAGGGTTTATGGGGTTTTTAGGGGAAACAGGGGTAAACCCTAAACCCTAAACCAGGCTTCCTTAAATCATACAGGGGCCCTAGGAAAAAAAGTGGAATTTGGGCTCATTAAGGTATTCTAGTGAATCCTGTAAACCCTAAATAATTGGGAATTTCATGTAGAATACCTAGTTAAAACCCCACGAAAACCCTAAAAAACCGTTTATACATGTACACGGCCTGCACAGCCTGCAGGGCATATCGGATCCCCCATTTTCTGGTATCAAGCGCAGGTAGGTCTCCGACCAGAGGGTCTTGAAACGAAGCCCTTTTCTGGGGAATCCGTAGGGGGGAGCTATATAGGATATAGGTTTTAGAGTTTAGGGCTTTGTGGCCCCTCCCCCCCTGTTCTGAATCTGCCGTTTTAAGGAACTCCCGTATATGGGCTCCCCTTTATGGATTCCCTGAATCATAGACGGAGTGAGCACGTTGAGCGGGCGAGATGGACAAAACGCTTGTCAAGGGACCGTGATGGCAGCTCTAGAAAAAGGCACTTCGGGCACATAAGTCGAGTAAAATATGATTCTATGAAGCTGAGATGTGGTTCGCTAGATGGGTTTCAGCATTCTGCAGGCGCCCCAAGTGCTTTTCAGGACCACTTGCTGCGGATTTTCGCATGCGTACTGCCCGAGCATGAACATCTTCTACAAGCTGAGATTCTCCCCGAGGGTTCCTTGTTAGAAGCATTATACTACAACATACCCTCCGAAGCCTTCTTGTATCTATTCAGCCGGCTAAATTTGGACTTCGGCGTCGATCTGGCACCGATTGCATGCTTCTCAAAGGCCCTTTCCTCCTGCCTGGATGCAGCCGTTTCAATGGCCTCAGATGCCAGTTAGATTTGGTTGGACGACCTTTCGGTTACAATATGCAATAGAACGAAAGTATACATGTGCATATGTTTCTAGACCTAACTTACCACCATCCCATACTATGGTACCATATCATTAGAACCAACAGGTAGCGCTTGAACGTCTAAGGCACAAGGACACGCCAGACACAGCGACCCCAGTATGGCTGGAGGATACCCAAACCCGAAACCCTAAACCCTAAACCCTAAAACCACCCTAAACCCTAAACCCTCAACCCTAAGCCCTAAAAAACCGTACACCCTATCCCTTGAGCCCTGACGACCTACTAGCCCCATAGATTTGCACCCCAACCGATCTACGGACACATCGATCGGATAGGGTCCGGGCGAAAAAAAGCCTACGCAACAAGGGGCTGTAAAATGTCGGGGGAGGCCATGGCCCAAGATAAGAGCTGGATGGAAGGACAGCGGTTCCAAGGCACGGTGAAATTCTGGAGGGGAAGCTTCGGATGGCTGCCCCTTGGTCAATGCACAGGAATCCTTTTGCCTTTCTCTGGCTTGGCTTCCCTGGTATTCTGAAAGGAACCCCGCAAGAAGGATACCTTCTTGTTCCCTTCAGGTCCTGTGACGCAGTGACCGAGAAAATGGGTCCTCGTGATGTCTTCCTCCACCGAAATGACTTGAACTCAGCACCTCGGCGAACGAGCTTTGGGTTCCTAGGGTTTCGGGCTTAGGGCTTGAGTAGTGCGCTGCGCTGGCCGGGCGAGCTCCAATCAAGCCCTGTGCGAAAGGGCTTGAATATTGTCGTTTGTATCGTTTGTGATAATTGTATCGTTTGTCTTTCACAAGCTCCGCTTCTGCACCAAGGAATACACCCCAACTACCATTAAGAGGACCCCCTCTTACTATTGACTCAAACTCGGCCCGCACTGCAAACCCAAGGTGCCCGTCGTTGCGGATGCCGTGGAATTCGGCTTGATCTTGGATGCAAAGGGTCAGCCGAAGGCCCCTTAAACCCGGAGTCCGGGTCCGTAACCCTCACATATGAACCGTTGGAGGTTTACCTGAGGCCCAAAAGACCTGCCTTTTTTAAGACTAGGTTCCGTGCATTCTTTCCCGGTCCTACACGCGGACTTATGTGATTTGCCCTGTATGGGGTTACTTGCCAGATGTGCCCGTCATATTGAATACACTTATCTGAATGTAGCACCTCAACAGTGTGTTCAGAGATTCGGAGTGAGCTGGGCAGCTTCCTAGATTCATCTGCGAGGCCACCAACGCCATCATTGTGAACAGTCAGAAACCCCATGGCAAAAGCCCAGGTGGGCCACCAAGTGCTGGGGGATGGGGGGATGGCTCTCATCACTTTCGTCTTCTGATTGACAGAATCGACCTTATACTGGAAGTTTAATATTGCCAGGCTAGAATGTAGAATGCAAGGCTTTGCCGGTTTCACTGCCGTGCTTATGACGTAAAACCAAATTACGTGAGCCTAAACCTACTACAGAAGCCTAGACAATTATCAACAGTTATTCCGCTTTAAAGGAGGCCTATTGTAATTATGTTTGGCCCCTACTCGACCCACCACCCTTCCAGCAGACACCCTAAACCCTAAACCCCAAACCCCAAACCCAAATGTTCGACCTCGCTAGTGGGCATAGATCCTCAGCCATGCCAGAGGGAACAAAACCCAAACCCCAAACCCTAAA